AGCCACTGCGCCTGGCTGATCTTGTTCTTTTTTATGACTACATGTTATTCCATGGTATAAATATACCACATTTTCTTTACCCAGTCCGCCACTGGCAGGCATTTAGATTTATTTCATGTCTTTGCTGTTGTGAATAGTGCAGCAGTGAACATATGTGTGCATATGTCTTTATGGTAGAGCAGTTTTGTTCCTTGGGTATATATGCAATAATGAGGTTGCTGGGTCAAATGGCAATTCTGCTTTGGGTTCTTTGAGAAATTGCCAAACTGCTTTCCATAATGGCTGAACTAATTTACATTCTTACTAGCAGTGTATAAGTGTTCCCTTTTCTCTGCAACCTTGCCAGCATCTGTTATTTTTTGACTTTTTAATAGTAGCCATCCTGACTGATGTGAGATGGTATCTCATTGTGGTTTTGATTTGCATTTCTCTCATGATTAGCGATGTTGAGCATTTTCCCATATGCTTCTTGGCCGCATGTATGTCTTCTTTTGAAAAGTTTCTATTCATATCCTTTGCCTACTTTTTAATGGGGTTGTTTTTTGCTTATTGATTTCAGTTACTTGTAGGTTCTGGATAGTAGACCTTTGTTGGATGCATAATTTGCAAGTATTTTCTTCTGTAGATTTTCTGTTTACTTCGCTGATAGTTTCTTTTGTTGCATGGAAGCTCTGAAGCTTAATTAGATCTTACTTGTCAATTTTGCGTCTCTTGCAATTGCCTTTGGCGTCTTCATGAAGTCTTTGCCACGTCCTATGTTCAGAATGTATTTCCTAGGTTATCTTCCAGAGTTTTTATGGTTTTAGGTTTTACATCTAGTTGGTTTTTGTATATGGCATAAGGAAGCAGTCTAGTTTCAATCTTCTGCTTATGGCTAGCCCATTATCTCAGCACCGTTAATTGAATCGGGGGCCTTTTCCCCTTTCTTTGTTTTTGTCAACTTTGTCAAAGATTAGATGGTTGTAGATGTGTGGCATTATTTCTGGGTTCCCTTTTCTGTTCCATTGATTTATGTATCTGTTTCCTTCTTTCTTTTTTCCTTTGAGATAAGAGTTCAGCTCTGTCACCCAGGCTAGAGTACAGTGTCATGATCTCGGCTCACTGCAACCTCTGCCTCCTGGGTTCTAGCAATTCTCCTGCCTCAGCCTCCCGAGTAGCTGGGATTACAGGTGCCCACCACACCTGGCTAATTTTTGTTCTTTTTAGAGATGGGGTTTCACCATGTTGGCCAGGCTGGTCTTGAACTCTTGACCTCAGGTGATCCACGTACCTGGGCCTCCCAAAGTGTTGAGATGACAGGTATGAGCCACCATGCCCAGTCTGTCTGTCTCTCTCTCTCAGTCCTCAGTCTCTCTCTCTTTCTCTTTCTCTCTTTCCTTCCCCTTCCCCTCTCTTCCCATTCCCTTCTTTCTGTCTCTCTGTCTCTCTGTCTCTTTCTCTCTTCCTTTCTTTCCTTTTTCCTTCCTTCCTTCCTTCCTTCCTTCCTTCCTTCCTTCCTTCCTTCCTTCCTTCCTTCCCTCCCTCCCTCCCTCCCTCCCTCCCTCCCTCCGTCCCTCCTTCCCTCCCTCCCTTGCTGTTTTGCAGTATAGTTTGAAGTCACATAATATGAAGCCTCCAGCCTTGTTCTTTTTGCCTAGGATTGCCTTAGGTATTTGAACTCTTTTTTGGTTCTGTAAGAATTTTAAAACAGTTTTTTTGTTTCCTTTCTTGAGATGGACTCTCGCTCTGTCACCAGGCTGTGGTGCAGTGGTGCAGTGGTGCCATCTCGGCTCACTGCAACCTCCAGCTCCCTGGTTCAAGTGATTCTCCTGTCTCAGCCTCCTGAGTAGCTGGGATTACAGGCACGCGCCATCATGCCCAGCTAATTTTTGTATTTTTAGTAGAGATGGGGTTTCACCATGTTGGCCAGGATGGTCTCGATCTCCTGACCTTATGATCTGCCTACCTCGGCTTCTCAAAGTGCTGGCATTACAGGTGAGCCACTGCACCCAGACTAGTTTTTTTCAAATTCTGTGAAGAATGTCATTGGTAGTATGATGGGAATAGCACTGAATCTGTAAATTCCTTTGGGCTTTATGGCCATTTTAACAATATTGATTCTTCCTGTCCATGAGCCTGGAATGTTTTTCCATTTGTTTGTGTCATCTCTGATTTCTTTGAGAAGTGTTTTACAATTCATGTTGTGAGATCTTTCACCTCCTTGTTACCCTATTCCTAGCTATTTTATTCTTTTTGTGGCTATAATATTGCATTCTTTTTGGCTTACAGTTTGGATATGGTTGGTGTTTAGGAATGCTACTGATTTTTGTACATTGGTTTTTTATCCTAAAACTTTGAAGTTTTTTTTTTTTTTTTTTAAATCAGATTAGGGAGCTTTCAGGCTGAGACTATGGGGTTTTCTAGGTATAGAAAATCATCTGCAAACAGGGATAGTTTGACTCCTCTCTTATTATTTAGATGCCTTTTATTTCTTTCTCTTGCCTGATTTCTCTGGCTGTAAGACTTCCAGTACTTTGTTGAATAAGAGTGGTAAGAGTAGGTATCCTTAGCTTGTTCTGGTTCTGAGAGGGGAAGCTTCCAGGTTTTGCCCATTCAGTATGATAGTGGCTGTGGGTTTGTCGTAAATGGCTCTTATTATTTGGAGGTTTCTTCAGTGCCTAGTTTGTTGAGATTTTTTCTTTTTTTTTTTTAAAGACAGAGTCTTGCCCTGTCACCAGGCCAGAGTACAGTGGCGTGATCTCGGCCCACTGCAACTTCTGGCTCCTGGATTAAAGTGATTCTCCTGCCTCAGCTTCCCAAGTCACGAGTAGCTAGGACTACAGGTGTGTGCCACCATGCCCAGCTAATATTTGTATTTTTAGTAGAAACAGGGTTTCATCATGATGGACAGGATGGTCTCTATCTCTTGACCTTGTGATCCGCCCGCCTCAGCCTCCCAAAGTGCTGGGATTACAGGCATGAGTCACTGTGCCTGGCCTGTTGAGGGTTTTTGACATGAAGGGATGTTGAATTTTATTGAAAGCCTTTGAGCTTTGAGATGATCATGTGGTTTTTGTTTTTAGTTCTGTTTATTTGATAAATCACATTTATTGATTTGCATATGTTGAAACAACCTTGCATCCCAGGAATAAAGCCAGTTAGTTATGATGAATTAGCTTTTGATATGCTCCTCTAGATTGTATTTGCTAGTATTTTGCTGAGGATTTTTGCATCTGTTCATCAGGGATATTGGCCTATAGTTTTCTTATTGTGCGTCTGCCAGATTTTGGTATCAGAATGATGCTGGACTCAATGAGTTAGGGAGGAGTCTCTCCTCTTTTTTTTTTTTTTTAAACAATTTCAGTATTATTGTTCCATACTAGTTCTTCTTTGTATGCCTGGTAAAATTTGGCTGTGAATCTGTCTGGGCCGGGGCTTTTTCTGATTGGTAGGTTTTCCACTACTGATTCAATTTTGGAACTCCTTATTGGCTTAAGATTCTAATTTCTTCCTGGTTCAATCTTTGGAGGCTGTATGTTTCCAGAAATTTATCCATTTCTTCTAGGTTTTCTAGCTAATGTGCATAGAGCTTCAACCCCTATTTTAATTCCAGAATAAAAATAGTATCTTTGGTAGTCACTGGGACTGCAAAGATTAATAAGACCTGATTATACCCTCAGGATACTCAAAGTGTAAGAACTGTCTTGCCTTTCACAAGTTACAAATTGCTTTTATGGTTTTATCACCATTATTTTCAAAACAGTAATGGGTAACAATGGTCCAGAGAGACTAAATGAAGAATGGAGTGAATTCTTAGCCTTCTCCTGTGTTTCTGCAATGTCTTTGTCAAATGCCAGCTAAGTGACGGGGAATTAGAGAAGCTGTGTAAGATAGCACAGTAGATTGTGTGGGACCTTCAGAATAAATCCTGTGTTTGTCTTTTCATCACTGTGCCTGGATACAATGGCTAAACAAAGGCATTTAGAAGTTTGATGATTTTGAAGAAATGAGACATTTACATTTATTTTGATGAATATTTGTTGAGTGACACCAAATATGTTGTGGGTGTTACGTTGTTTTTTTCACATAGCCCTGTCTCTTTTAGTGCATTTAGCTTTACCTGCCGTGTCTGTAGTTAATATTTTTATAGGCATGTGTTATCTACCCGACTAGGCTAAAAACTTCTTCAGGTCAAGTCCTTCTTTGCCAGTCTATCCAATCTAGATATAGTAGGTCTTTAGTGGGTATTTGCTGAATGAATAAATAGATTAATTACTTTTAGCGACTGAGTTTATTTATGATTAATTTTTTTTTTAGATAGAGTCTCACTTTGTTGCTCAGGCTAGAGTGCAGTGGCACGATCACGGCTCACTGCCGCCTCTGCCTCCCAGGATCAAGTGATTCTCCTGCCTCAGCCTCTCAAGTAGCTGGGACTACAGGCACATGCCACCATGCCCAGCTATTTTTTTTTTTTTTTTTTGTATTTTTAGTAGAGACTATGTTTCACCACGTTGGCCAGGCTGGTCTTAAACTTCTGACCTCAAGTGATCTGCCCGCCTCGGCCTCCCAAAGTGCTGGTGGGATTACAGGTGTGAACCACTGCGCCTGGCCTGAATGTTTTATACACTTCCATTTATACATACATAAACCTTTAAAGTATCCATGTTATTCAGAGCTGTTACAATAGTTTGGGAATAAGAGTGGAATCCTTTATGTTTGCATTACTCTAGGTTACACATTCTTTTTTATCTAGAAACTCAGGCTATGTCGCCCTGCTTCAGCTCAGATTTCTCTTTGGTACTTAACCTCAGCCAGGGCCCCGCTTTCCTTTCCTTCCTTACTGTAATTTCAGCCCTCTGTCCATAATGAATCATGAGCACCTCTCTCTCTCTCTCCTCTGTTTCCATCAGGAAGTGAACCAATATTTTAAATTTTAAGCCAAGAACAGAGTTGTGGGCAAGTCCTGGGTAGGGTAAAGTTATTTGATATGATGATTAAAAAAATTTTTTTTTTTTTTCCAGTTTTAAGGAGCGGATAGTTTAATAGACAAGAAGGAAGGAAGGAAGGAAGAAGAAAACAGCTCTGCTCCCCTGTACAGAGGTAAAGTGGGGGGGGGGGGATTCGAACAAAGAGAATAAATACCCCATGTGTTGCAGAAAAATGGCTGCTTATATGAGGAGGCTGGAGGAGGTGGTGCCTGATTTGCATAGGGCTCAGGGGATTGGTTTGACCAGGCATGTCAGTCACGTAGCCCTGGGAAGGAGGGAACTGGCCCTCCCACCCTAACTTTTAATATGTAAATTTAGGGTGCCTTGGTGCTCTACATGGGGAATATGTGGGGGTGGCCATGTTGCCAGATGCCTGTGAGGCAAAGGTAAGAAGAAGGGGACAGGAATCACCATGTTTGGGTGGACCCAGTTTCTTATGCCCTGGATTTGCATATCCAGGGTTGCTGGCCTGGCTCTAAGAGCTGGGGCTTTCTTGCCACACAAGAAACATTTCTAGAGCTGTTTTAAAAGAAATAAAAATTTCCCAAGGACCTCTTTTCCTCTCTGTCTGCCTAAAATAATTTTTTAATAACTCCTATAACATTCACCCCTGTGGAGATGTCACCCTAACTGCTGTTAGAGTGTTTTGGACAGTGACTCTTTCTGGCTACTTCCTGTTGAAAAGGGGCATCAAATGGGGAACAACAGCTAGGGCTTCTCCTGGGGTCAGCCTAAGGGTCCTTGGAAGAATGGTGTGTACATGCTTGGTTCAGTTTGCAGCACCATTTGGAGCTTGATTGCTTCCAGGTGAGAGGAAACAATTCTGAGTTATAGTATTGAGTATATAGGGTCCAAATATTAATACAGGACATAAGCTGTCTGTTAAAAAGTGTTACCACGTCTAACCCTATTGCAAATAGTAGAGTGAGGATGGCAGTTCCCACAAGTGTGCTGGGAACTAAAATTTTGCTTGCCAACATATAGAATTTCCCTTTGGGGGTTTATGAAGTTCCTTGGTTTTATTTCCCAAACAAAGGAACCTCAGGGTTACGGGCACCCCACTGACTTTCATTACCTGGCAGAATTTGCAGAATAATTACCCAGAGCTAGTATATTGATCTAGATTCTTATGTTACCCATCCCCTTTTGTTTCTTCCAAGCTGTAGGAGATCACCACTTGATTCACAGGAATAGGCAGAGTTAGTCTAAAATGTAGGCAAAAAGCTTAAAAAAAAAATAATGAGACTAGGATTTAATGACAAATATATGATAAGCTTTGGAGCACAATTTCTCTTTCCAGTCTTAATTTTTGGTAAAAACAAATTATGATAGGACCGTGTGTGTTTTTAGAATAAACTTTAGTCTTATACTTGGCCTGATTATTTGCATAAAGTGCAGCAAGAATGGTTATTTCTACATAGGCCTTTTGGATTGGCTTTGATGGAACTCTGTTCCACAAGGAATCTCAGATAAGACCTTTAAAGCTGACCCCAGCCATGGATTTGTATCCTCAAATACCTGTGAGTCGGGTGATCCTCTCCTCTTGAGGTCCCAAGATAAACTTGGAGCTCCTGGACGTGTTATAAAGTGACATTCTATACTGACTACAGGTTAGGAACCCTGTGGAGAGATTGTGTAGACAAGGTATGAGGCCAGTTCTCCCCAAGGGGCTTTATTGGCTCTGCATGTCAAGCTTGATTCCATAAAGGGAAATGCACTGTTTCAGTCAAAGCCTTGGTGAAATAACCAGTTTTTCCAATTGTGTCCTGTTGACAAAGAAAAATGGATTTTTATTGCACTGATGCAAACAACTATATTGCCATGGCTTAAGAGTACCCACAGATAGTTTCCAAATTCTAGAGGAACCAGGTAGAGAAAAATAAACATGCTCCAAATTTTGTTCACAGGAGTATACCTTATTCAATTGTTAAAGGCCATAAATAGTTCAAAATAAGTTTCCTTAACTCTGAAAAACAAAATAAGGATCAGCAAAATTTCAAGCAAAAGTCAAAAAGGTTGCTTTAACTTTCTGATTGCAGTCCATTTAACTCTTGTTTGCTTAATATTTGTGAACAGGTTAGTTCTTTGAGTCTCATACATTCATTCTCTGTTCCACTGTTAGTCTTCAAAGCTATTAAAAACTCTTGCATTTGAGAACGTCTGTTAAAGTTCTTAATATGGCTTGATTATAAACTGTCTTTTGAGAAGGAATAAAGCAAGACAATTGTCTGTGAATGACAAAATTTCCAAGATAGTTACAGTTAAAAACATGACTGACAAGTTTGTTTATCTCCGTGGTTTACAATAACTTTATCCTTAATTATGATTGATAGCATATACTTAGACATTAGAATTTTAGAAATCCCATACAATTTTGGAGCATATGTTACTGTTACTTACCAAAATATAACTTAAAGAAGGTTGGACATCATTTTGGCAATCTCGTGACTAAACTCGTCAAATAATCTTGCTTACCTCTTTTCTGAATGTTTCAGGAGAACTCTGAAACATCCAAAAAGCCAGGCATCAAGAAGGACAATTTTGAAACTTGAAGTTAAAATTGGGATGTCTGTTAAATGTTAGAGGTTTAGAACATTTGATATAAAATAGAATTCCAGATTGCCATATATTATTTATTTTGCCAAAATGATGACTCGAAAGGCAAAACCTTTCACTGGCCTTTACTATGACATGGAAATCCTGTTCAAAGCCAAAGTTTACCCTTGCTTTAATTTATTAACATTAACCCCAATTTATTTAAATGAAACCTTATAGATAATTGCATCTAATCATAACCAATTTGACTGTGAGGTGCAATCTTTATAAACCTTTTATAACCCTTTTACTAGAGGGCAGATGAGTGAGTGTCTTTAAGACCTGCTTGCTATGCTTTTATTCCAATGCCCAACTTATGAAAAGACCACATAATAGCCTTTTGAGTTTAGTTAATGTTCAGTGTTAACTTTTAGCAACTTTTAATTTTGGTGCAAAACCTGGTTAGTAAGTGATTTTAATTATAGACTAGACGTGGATCCGAGACCCAGAGAGAAGTGCAGCATGTCGCTCCATGTGTCCCAGGCCTCACCTATCTGTAAAGCAGGCAGTATACAACCTTGGAACATTTAGCAAACCTAGTATCTAAGTTATGTGACTTAGACCGCCTGTTTGCATTTTGACAACGTTTGCATTTTACCAATACTCCTTGAGACTATTTTTATTTCTTAGTCACATGAACTAAAAAATATTTAAGTACTTATTTTCTTTAAGCCAATCACTTAGAGCTCTTTTTATAGACATTACACACAACACATACATAGCAACACAGAAGATTGACCACTTGTTAAGATTTTTCATTTGCCAGTTTCTTAATTGGATCACTGGCTTTAGGGTGGAGCCCTTGGAGGAACAGGGCCAGGTAGTATGCATTTTTTTAGGGCCTAATAAGCAGGCACAGCCAAAGGCAAAGACAAGATCCCTAAAATTACGGGTACCATTTTATACTGGATCTTGGATCCTCAAAAGAGGGAGATACTGTGGGAGAAGACGGTGTAGTGCTTCTAAACTGTGCACTTCATTGCAAGGTCACCCAAAGCCAATTCGCTTATTTTGTAATTAGCCCATGCAATGGTTACTTTTTATTTTTATTTTTTGAGATGGAGTCTTGTTCTGCTGCCCAGGCTGGAGTGCAGTGGTGCAATCTTTGCTCACTGCAACCTCTGCCTCCCAGGAGTCAAGCAGTTCCCTGCCTCGGCCTCCCAAGTAGCTGGGATTATAGGCACTTGCCACTATGCCTGGCTAATTTTTGTATTTTTAGTAGATACCGGATTTTACCATCTTGGCCAGGCTGGTCTTGAACTCCCGACCTTGTGATCCACCTGCCTTGGCCTTCCAAAGTGCTGGGATTAAAGGCGTGAGCCACCACATCTGGCCGTGTTGGTTATTTTTATGTGTCAGCTTTAGTGTAAGTATGTAACTTGAAGATTGGACATCTACTTTAAGTGGCTAAAAGATGGGCTACAAGATATCCTGAAAGCTGGTTAAACACAATTTCTGGAGTTACCAGTGAGGGCATTTTCAGAAGAGATTAGCACTTGAATCAGTAGACTGAAGATCTTCCTCACTAATAAGGTGGGTATCGTGCAACCCATTGAGGGCCCCAGAAGAACAAGAAGGCAAAAGAAAGGACAAGTTTACTCTGTCTATGATATGGTTTGGCTCTGTGTCTCTACCCGAGTCTCATTTTGAATTGTAATCCCCACTGATGAAGGGAGGGAGGTGATTGGATGCTGGGGACGGTTTCTCCCATGCTGTTCTCATGATAGGGAGTTCTCAGGAGATCTGATGGTTTTATAAATGGCTGTCCCCTGGGCTTTTCACTTTCTCTCCCGCCTGCAGCCATGTAAGAGGTGCCTGCTTCCCTGTCTGCCATGATTGGAAGTTTCCTGAGGCCTCCCCCGCCATGGGGAACTGTGATTCAATTAAATCGCATTTGTTTATGATTGCAGAACTCTTCTCAAGCTCTGTGAAACCACACATTTAAATAGGACAGTGCTTTGTTTTTTTTTCCTGAAAAGTACAGAAGAGTGATGTATGTGAATGTTTACCTAAGCAATACCTTTTCTATTTAACTATAGCGAAAGGAGCCATTGTATTTTCTTTAAAGCCTGGAATAGTAATGATTTATTTTCCTCAAAACTCCAGATCCTTGGATTAATAGCTGATTTTTTTCAATTTTGATTCTCTATAGTACTTGTTAAATACTGTGTATAATTTGGGATGTCAAGCAGTATGTTTTGTGATCTCATAAGGCATTGACTTAGATTGAAAACTCAAATCTTTTCAGGAAAATTTCTGTGTCGTTCCCCCCCCCACCCCCACACCATTTCATTGAGGCTATAATTCACAGTAGTAGTAATGGTGTTAGAGTGGATGAAAGTTTTTTTTCTTTCTTTCCTTCTTTTTTTTTTAAAAAACCATTAATGTGTAAAACAGCTCAGGGCCACTATGCCAGGAAATGTGTAATAAAAGTTCATTTCTTCTTTCTTTTCTTGTTTCTGGATCATGGAGTAATTTTATACAAGAATGGGATAAATTTCACAGTCACCCCTCAGA